TGAAAGACTGCCCAATGACACAGTAACAAACTCCCATCACGAGCAGGCTGACACTGAGCTGACTCTAACGACGGGTTGTCGTCTGCTGAAAGCTGGATTAAGCAGCTCTTACACTACTCTTCTCTCTCTCTCTTTCTCCCGAACCCTCCCTCCACTCTGTGCCTGGGCTCAAAGACAAACAAAATCCGACCCAGAAATGATGGGCTGCCACATATAAACAAACAACAACAAATGCCCGGAGAAAGTGCAACAGCACAAAGCTGCAATTAGCATACATTTACTCCCAAATCCATCCTGCCATGCCAGTGGAGTACACTTCCTAGACTTAATGATAATCAATTAATCAATCATTGCACAAACTGCCATCATGTAATCGCAAAATATTCTACAATTAAATCAGAGTGACTTTACTGTACTGGCAATTATAAAGCAAATGGAACTCACCAGTACGTCTGTGGAACTTTGTCGACCCCCATGGCCTTTCACTGTCCTCTTCTTTACCTCCGCTGTGAGCCTTAAGCCTGGTCTCCATCCAGTTATATTTCTCTCCCAGCTGTGTGAGCCTCAGTGAGCCCCCCCCCTCCCCCCCATCCACCCTTCACCCCTTTCCTCTCTCTCTCTCTCTCACACACACACACACACACACACACCCTCTCTCCCTAGGCTTAAGGTGGGGCCTGACCTCCATTAGTTCTGACATGTAGAAGCACCAGTTCTGTAAAGGTCATGGCCTGGCACAGCGGGCCTTGTCCTGCTGGTCACACATCTGCGTGCCCTGGACTGGTACCGCCCATTGCGCCCCCGCCGCTGTCCCGCATTCAACAAGCTGACACCCCTCCCCCCCACTCAGCCCTCATCTCCCACTACCTCCTCCTCCTGTACACCAACTGACCGCACAGCTTCAAGGGCAAGCTTCAGATGTGCAGCAGCGAAAAAAAGCCTTTAATTGGACTCTTTCTTTGCTTCTTTCCTTCTTTCTTTCTTTCGTTTTTTTCTCGGCGTCAAAGAAGGAGGAAGAAGAAGAGGAAGGGGAGGGTTATGAGGGTTGAGTGTAGGATGAAGACAGTGGAGGGACAGAAATTGTGAGAGAGAGAATGAGAGGAAGAGAGAGACAGAGATTAAGAGAAAAGAATTGACCTGTGAGAAAGAAAAGAAGACAGAGAGAGCATGACAGAGTAAAACAGAAGCAGATAGAGAGAGACAGGAAAAGCAAATCATGAGTAAGTATAGGTACTTTATAACATTGTTATTATTACTTTATTGAAAGGCATATTTGAGTTTGCGGGAGACATGCAGGAAGGCTTTGCAGCACTGGAGCAGATAATTTCTCCCCACAAGGAGACGCAGTGCCCAGAACGGACACCCACCCCCCCGCTCCGCCCCCCCCCCCCAAGCAGGACAGCCACGGGACCATGCTGTCCCCCAAAGTCATCTTCCTCCTGTTTTTCCTTTTTTCTGGGAGCTAGGGGAACAGAGGGCTGCTGTTTGAAGCCCCTCCCCTCTCCCCTGTTTCTGCATGCATCCCCTTCAGTACCCCTCACAGCACGCCCCCCACCCCTACTGAAAACCCCCCCGCTCCGTTCAGCTCCGCTTCCCAGCTCTGGCCACCTGTGCATTCTTTATCGCAGCCAAGTCTTCCAGCCTGACGCACACAGACCATGTGACCCTCCACAGCAACCCCCCCACCCCCCCCTTTGCCCCCTTTCACCAATCAAATCAAATACGCAGGAAAAGATGAACCGGAAATTCAGGGTGGGAAGGCCTGGGCAGGGGGAGGTACACATGAAGTCAGAGGTTTTGTGCTAAACAAGCGGGACAACTTTCTGGTTATATGGTAAGTGTACAAATATGTGCTACTCTGACTTTGCTGAGGGTCTGCATTTTTTTCGCTGAGGTATTTGAGATTTGTGTCTTTAACATCTTGGTATAAGGAGTTGGCAAAAAGTGGACATGATGAAAAATCATGTGGAGGATCCACCACTCTGTCGTGCCCCAAGACAAGGCACACATGAAGGCAGCTAACATTCTCAGCAAAGTTTAATGCAAAATCTGAAACTTTCCTGATACGAAGCCACCACTCTCCCGTCCACACCCCCTCTCCCTCCCTCTCGGCTCTCTGTAACTGCCAGCCTGAGCTGCCTTCCTTTGTACAAGCCACAAAAGGAGGCAGTGCCCTCTCACAGGCTATGTTACAGTCTGCCATATGAAGCAGACACTCTGGACCAGCCTGGCTTTATCTGCTGTGACACTTCAGATTAGTCCCCCCAGCCCCTATCTGATCAGCACATCCAATTCAATTAGTCCCAATTAGTCCTGTTCTCACCCCCGCCACCAGCCTGGGACACAGGAACCCCCCCTCCACCATGTCAGGGAGCGGTGCGCACCACTGACCCTGGGACTGCCGCGCCACGGCCCCCATTGTGTGTGCACCCCATCATCACGCTCTCTCTCTCTACCCACACCGGGAGAGGGATGGGGCCCCAGCACACCTGCCCTCTGCAAATTAGGAGAGAGAGGGACAGAGAGGGGGGAGGGAGGGAGGGAGGGAGGGAGAGTTACAGAGAATGAGAGAGGGAGAGAGGAAGGGGAAGAGAGAATGGGGGAAGAGGGAGCAAGGGGGGAGAATGAGAGGGAGTGTGGGGTAGAGAGAGAGAGAGAAAGAAAGTGAAAGAGAGAAAGGGGACAGGGAGCAAGAGGGAAGAAGACAGAGAGAGAGAAAGAGACAGAGGGAGAGTGAGAGAGAGAGAGAGAGAGAGATTCGAAATATGTGTGTCTGGGCCTTGGTTTATCTTTAATATTCAGATTGAGCGAAAAGTTAATGATGCTCCCTTTGTGGAGTGCAGGGACTGAAAGCCACAGAGAGCAGCTCTGCAGCAGCCAGAGAGCTTTGACAAGACAAGTGTGTTCTTCAGCCTGGAAAATAACTCACCCAGGATTTCTGAATATGTGCTGTCACAGTACAACAAAGTCAGCTTGTCTCTGACAGGGGCCATCACCCGGCATTTGAGGCCCCTTTTGAAGTAAATATTTTTTTTATTGTAAAGAAAAACACAAACACAAATATAATGGTGGATGGAAGACACAAGAGAAATGATCTTTTTATCACTGACACACACGCACACAAATGTGCAATCAAACACATGTATGTACACACCTACGAACACACATGTACACACACTCAAATACAGACTCTCTCACACTCTCTGTCACTCTCTCACACACACACACACACACACACACACACACACACACACACACACACCCTTACCCTGGTCCCTCCCCTCCTCTCTTGCTCTTCCTCTCTAATGAAAGCCCCCTCATACGCCCGCCTTCCCAGCATGCCCTAATCTCCCCTGACAGCTTCCCCCCTAATTGGTCATAACACCCAGATGGAAGAGTCCTTAATTTGCTGTTCCGAATAATGGCAGGCGACTGAAGGGGGCAGCGAGGGGGGAAGCCTTGATTTGTTGGTTATAGATACAGAAGCGGTAAACACCCCAGGCTTCAGGCCTGACAGTTTGAACAGGCTTTTGTTCACACATTTACTGAAAAGAACTGCCCCTCTCTTTCTCATTCCCACCCCTGAGTCCCCCCACCCTCCATACCCCTCCCCTCCCTTCTCTTTTCCTTTTCTCTCTCTCTCTTTCTCTCTCTCTCTCTCCTTCTCTCTCAGGGACACAAAGAGCACTGGTGCTTGCACAGAGGTGTGGGGAACGGAAGTTTGAACTAAACAGTAATTAGGTGTTGTTTTCCTCTTTAATGGAATTGGGTGGAGCTGGGTGGGGTGGGGGTGAGGTGGGGAGTTGGGGTGGAGTGTATTTAGGGGCTGTAGGACTGTGCTTCTGTGTGGCCAGGGTCCTCAACAAGATTACCAAGTGACAGTGGGACAGGGGTGAGGACCCCCTCCACCTGGGCACTAATGAGGGCAGGAGGGTGTGACCTCTGGGCAAGCTTTTTTTTTTGGAGGAACGTCCACCTCCTTGTGGCATAGTTAGAGCAGAATGCTGGCTGAATGGGAGCTGAAGTGGGTCCGTGTGGGTGCTGTGAGACTCGGGGCCTTGAGAGGACAGACACAGTCAGGGGAGCTTGGAAGGGAGGCTCACTGGGCCACAGTCTTTGTGTCGTCAGATTTATTTCAGTTCATTCAATTCACTAAATTAACAAAAATTCTATCCATGATTTGTATTCATTTATTTATTATTTATTGTCATTTGTGATTGTAACCTATTTTTCAAAGGGTACCTGGGCAAGAAAGCAGCATTTGTAGACAAGACAACATTAAAAGTGATTGGTCAGTCCTTGCCTCTTAGTTTTGTATTGGTGAGAAAATGAGGTGTCATCCCACGGTAAAAAAATATTAGTATTGACACCACACTGACTCATTGAAACTGGACCTTATTATTTGGATCTTTCAGGTGAGTTGCTGACATTTTCCCAAACTATGCATGTAGCTCCAGTGGCGCAATCGGTTAGCGCGCGGTACTTATATGACAGTATGCAGGGCCATGCCGAGGTTGTGAGTTCGAGCCTCACCTGGAGCAGGTATCTTTTCCTGCATAGTTGATGTAACAATGGAAAACCAAAACAGGAGCAGTGTTCAGAAGTGACAACCTTGCAGTTAGGTCTTTGCTCTATACCACACATGTTCCATATTAATGAAATACTAATTACCGCTATGTTAGGTCAAATAGTTTGTAAACCTGAAACCCTCAATTGACATGTTACCAATATTTCTGAGAAGTTCTGTAAGATAATGTCGGTTTCCACCTCATTCATCTCTCAAAGAACTGGAGGCCTCATTAAGAATGGTCCCATATTCCCAAGGAAACAAAAACTTGAATAACAGTATCAAAAATGGGTGGAAGGGTGTTCTAAAATTAAAGGGTAATCTAAAGCCTTATTAGTTAATAAGAACACATATGCTTTCTGTTCCTCACACTATTTTGCTTCCCTCATTTCAAAGGTGCACATATAAGCACAAGACAACAGGTTGGGATCAGACACACTGCTGGGATTTGAACCCAGGATGTAGTGTTTACAAGACAGTTGCTTTGACCAGCTATGTCACAGTGCTTTGCAAGACTCAAAAGCTAGGTGTGAAAACTGCTAAGCGAGTTGTTTGGAATTGCCTGCTGTACCAGGAAGGCCTTGTTGAGGAACATCAACACTGGACACGCAGTACCTTCTGGCAGCTCAAAGGAACAGAAACCTATATCAGCAATCATTGATTGTGCAATATCTTGTATAATTCTGAACATAATTTCTTAACATTTTCCCTGTTGTTTTAGTGTTGCTCCTGTGACAGTTGCTGTGTGGTTATATCTATGACAGTCCGCTGCAGAACTGTTGTGCGTTTGAGCTTCACCAGAAGAATAAAACTTTTCCTTCAGTGTCACCCTTTTGCAAGCTGGTCAGATGAGTGAGACAGGTCTGGTGGAGGGGGTGGGAGATGTAAACAATGGGATAAGCTCTCCATTGGGGGGTGGGTGGGGGGCAGGCCTGGTCCTGGAGAGATACACTGAATGCTGGTTTTTGTTGCAACCCAACACTTAATTGATCAATAGCACAGTTGTTAACACTGTTAACTCACCTCACCATGTTTCTCGGATCTGATTTACATGCTGATTCAAGTGTGAAAACAAAAACCAGCTCAACCTGTAGCTCTCCGGGACCAGGGCTGGCCACCCCTGGATTACAGGGAATTAAAATGACACCTTCGAGAAGTGATAAATGCTTTTTGTTGTTGTTTTAAGTCAATAAATGAAAAAATTGCTCACCAGTTCAGTTACATTTTAGAAAAAATCACAAAATAATTGTTTTGGTTCCTACTCAGCGCTTAATTGATCAATAACACAGTTGTTAGCACTGTAAATTTACCTCACCATGGTTAGAAAATGTAACTTGACTGGTGAGTGATTTTCTTATTTCCTCAAATAATATTTTCAAACCCTTTAATGGGAGTCTTACTTTAAACCCCAAGCATAACAAACAGGGCAGACATGAACTGAATTTATTTGTATATGTTCCAAACAGAAAGGTTGGTCTTGTGGAATAATATAACCTTAATCTATTCATATTTTTCCTCCCTCCATTTTCTAGTTTATTCTTGATGTTACAAGGTTGTTCACAAGAGTGAAGTTGTCACTTGATTGTTCCATTTTCTCCTACAGTTGAATGCGGGATGCAAGGTCACCAGTGGTAGCAGGTCCGACTTGTGGTGATGGGCTAGGCTTGTGATTGGGTGTGCCTGGCCCACTCTGCCTCCCTCCACAAGAGGGAAACACACAAAAAACACACTTAAAAATGTTGTTATCTTGCAGTGTATTCTTATTATTCTGAGGCTTTTCTCCCACCTGCACAAACCTTCGATCCATGGCCTCATCCACAAAGTCAACAACCAAGTGCAGAACCATGCCCTTTCTACATTATTACATCTATGGACCCCACTCAAATACATCTCAAGAGGTTTCATCCAATAAATCAAAAATTTCCTTAATCGAAAGAAAATCTTATTTGCAATTATGAGGGATGACATGGCCATGAAAACATGTTGGAAATTTAAAATGTCCTTATATATCAAGTAGGATTTTTCAAGATAGTCAAGTGCATGCTTGCCTCTTTCTGACTTTCCTCGCTGTTTGTATCATGACTAATAATGTAGCCAAACACACAAAGACATTTATAAATTGCTGTTTAATTCAGAAATCCCTGTCTTCCTATCTTCAACATATCTTAGGATCCACAAGATCTAAAACAATTTTAGTTTAGATGCATCTAGTTTCAGGGCTTGTTTCATGCCATCTGAAAAAAAGAGAAATAGTGATTTTTTTAAGAAGACAGAGACTTTCTTGCCAGTGATATTTCCATATTAGGACCTAGTGACTGCTATTTTGTTGCCTGAATACCATAATATTATTTACTAACTAGACAACCATATCTGCTGTGATTCCTGGAGCTGGAGGTTTTCTGGAAAAGTTCAGATTAAGCATCTTGCTCTTGTTGATTTTTTTAACCTCTTCCACACCAAGGTTATCATAGAATATTCCAGGATCACAGGACTGTTTTGTTGGCAGGAGGAACTTTGACACACAAGAACTATTCAATAGAAAGAAGATTCATCTTAGTCCTAGAAAGTTGTCTTAGTTGTCAAGATAGTTAGCATTGCTGCAGCATTTTCATGAAGTTGACCAACTTCCATTTTCAATGCTGCACAATGGTGCCTTACATCTGTAAACACACACACACAAAGTTAGGAATCAATATTTTTAAGTTGCAGAAATTCAATGGAAACATGCACACTGTTCCCCAAAGACAGGTGTAACACAATTCCCATTCATTGAGTATTCCTTTAACAAAATCCATTTTACATGCATGAAAAGGCATATAATCAAGGCCAGAGTCAGGTGAACTGAGTTATTATTATTTTTAAAGAATTGCTGCTGCTACTTGGATAAAGCTTTGGGCTGCAAAAATTAGGGAAATGCTTTTCATGGTGGGCTCTTTACTAAGTTTGGCTTTGACAGGCCAGCATTTACCACAGGACAGGAAAAATGCAGGAGAAGACTCCTCATGTTAAAATTGTAATGGCTTTACTACAAAGACGCATAACTTTTTACCTTTCTTGACACCCATAACATTTGACATAAGACTTTTGCAAATCCCTGGGAATTCGCAAAATGATACCAAATACCAAATGCAATGGAAGTGAGGAGAGGAGAGATCCAGGGCAGAAGTTGTTTGTATGGAAACATAATACACTAAACCTCAAATCCATGGGTGGCCGACACAGCCTAAATAAAGTGTGTGGCACTGTGGAATATGGAGACCATAGACTGGAACGATTGGCCAATGAAAAGTGAATGATTAGACTCCTGTGATTCAGGCTGACTGCCAAAGGTTAATATGAACAAAAATTGCAATGAAGTAAAAAGATCCCGTGGGACGGACAATGAGGAGGGGTTGTGCTTTGTGCACTTGTGTTCTTCTTTTCGTGTTTTCCTTGAGCGTCACACTGTGATGTCCAGGCCAGGACGAAGGCACAGATGGGTTATGAGGGATTGTTCAGTGGTACCATGAGTTTAGGGGGGAAGGCTAAGACAACCGAAACAGAGGTTGTTTTGTGGAGGCCAATAGTGTGCCCTGTCTGTTGTAGGCAGGCAGGCAAGAGTACTCCCACACAGGGGTGACAGGGGAAATGTTGCTGGCACGTTGTGCCTCCCATTTCTGTGGTAAAGCTGACCCATATAGACCTTCCCGTGACAGGCTCAGAGAGGACCAGGACACACAAAAGCCAGGGATAATTGACTGTGGTGAAAGACGAAGGCGATGCATTACTATTTTGACTTGCGCACATAAGCTTTCACCGTAAATGGCCTTGGCTTCAAGGATGGCATGAAATTGGAAATGAAAATTCAGTTAGGTGGGATGGGTTTCGCTGGACAATAAAGTGGCCTTACTTTTTGAATATGTTGATACTAAAGACCTTTCCTCATATTTACTGCAGTTTTATAAGTAGTTTAGCTCATGGGTATATATACTGTGGATGTATGCATAAATATATATACAAATATTCTATATAAATACACCCATATATACTCCGTCAATACAATATAGACTATATACATACATGAAATAAAAAATAAATTGATAACATATGTATGTATTTACACCTCCATCTATGTATAAATACTATCATATACACAGACATGGCTTCTCATATGTTTCAAAGTGGTGAAAATTCTCAGTGCACCAAATGTGTTTCATGGGCTCCACATGTATAAGTCACCTGGCAGTTTATGTTCAGGTAAGGGGGATTCAATAGACCACTACAGTGCAAAGGAACAGGCCTGTTGCAATACAGGCAAAAAACTTCCTCTAATCAGGAGGCTTCCACTTCATGGTTTCAGTACTATATGATATCAGAAGTGTATATGCTGAAAAGATCCAAACAGGACATATCAGAGTGCTGCAACCTCACAAATGAAACAATGAAAGAAAATCAGGCTGATGTTATAGGAGACTACACAAAGAAGCAAAGCTTGAACTTTGGCAGATACTACTGGACCCTGCTTCTGCACCTCCCAAATTTGGAGTGTCATTGTCTCAGGATCTCAGTATGTGGGAAAAAAAGAGCTCTTCGCACAGCAAGACAAATTATTTACAATTCGCACTGATTCAAGAAAAATGACAAAATATAACTAGAGTTTTTTTTAATTGAATAGCATATGCCCTGAAATGAACTAAATTCTTGGCCTTATCTTTTTTATTGATGAAGTCTCATAAGAAACACACAAACATGCCTATAAGCAGGTAAAATGAATTAGTAAAATGTAAGGCAGATATGTACCTTAGAACCTCTGTATTTATTGTTCTCATATTTTTGGTCAACTGGTCCATTTGTTGATTGATCAGCAACACATCACACCTTCATTTTAAGTGTAATAAAGTATTATCTGGAGATACAGCACAGATATGGGGTCCACACTACAGGTGGGGAGTGGGAGGGGTAACTGAGTTGGTGTGACCTGTCAAAACCAGAATGTTTTCATGTTCACCAGAAACAGCTAGAAGTTTTTTTTTACATGGAGCAGACAGCCACGATGTGCATCTGCTGAGCCAGCTGTAACATCACACTGAAGTGGGCTGAGGCTGAAGATGTGAGGCCATTTGGGTCCCCAACCTCTTCACAGTCACCTGCACAGTCAGTCCTGCCCAAAGGGGCTCTCTTCAGCAGTGTTCAGGGGTTGCTTTTAGCATATCCTAGTCAACTGTCAACACACATACTTTGTTGAGCTCCCAGAGATACTTACTGACAAAAGGCCTATAAAAGCTGGCTTTCACATGCTGGCCAGTTTCCCAATGTGCTTACTGTGTGAGATTTAAATGAATTATCAAGCTGGTGTATCATTACATTACATTACAGTCATTCAGCAGACATACTTATCCAGACTGTCTTACGATCAATATGAACCCTTATCCTTGTACCCATAATATGCTATCCACTGCTATTAATTTACTCCTTAATACATATCATTTCCTCTGTGTAATTCAACAAGAATGACTACTCTAAGATTC